CTTAAAAGAGGCTGTTAAACAGATTATGCATCTGCAGAGCCAAATTGCATTCCTGTAAAGGGCAAATTTTGTACAACTAGTGAACAGAGAGTGCTTTGTCCTCTATTAGAAGGATGTTTTTTGGTTTAGTGGGTTTTGGTTGGATTTATTTGGGTTTGGCTTTGTTTTTTTCCCCTTTCATGAAGCTGTACAATGTATACACAGTCATCTTCAGACACTGAATTTTTCCCCCCTACTGTGGACAGGTTAAGATCAGAAGGCCAAGGATCACCAAAAGCTAATACCATGTAGAAAGGCAGTGTGCACAATGAACTTTCTGTCTCCTTTACAGTGAGAGCCTTGCAGAAATGTGTTGCATCAAGAGTCGCATTGCAGATGACAAAACAGCAAAAACAGTGTGTTTTGGCTCTATGCCAAGGAAAGCAAGCTCTAGAAAATCTTCGCTGGCAGAAGACTTCAATTGTGCTTGTTGTTGCTCCGTAGTGTTGAATGGGAATGCAGTCAGCTGACTCGCCAGTGGATTTTCAAAGGTAGCAAAAGGCACATGAGTTTATTGCCCATCTTTCTCCCATAGAAAAGCTAGTGGATTTGAACTGTGTGCCTTTGGGTTGACAGCACAATTCTTAAAGTCTTCACTGGTGGAAGACTTTAACTAGAATCTTCAAAAGGGTAAAAAGAGACTGTAAGATGCTAAGAATCACTTGCTCACAGCATTCTGCTAAAGAATTAAAACAACAAAAAACCCCTCGATCTCACTGCTCTTGAACTCTTGGTTCAGACTCAACCACCCTCCACTGAGTTGCTGAGCCTAGAAATCATAACAGAAGGATAGTGCTCATCTTTCTTCCAGGGAGCAGCTGGATTCGAACTGGCATAGATGCAGACTACAACCTACAAACTACCCTACCAGGGATCCTCTTTGGCTAAAGGAGAGTAGTTAACTGATCAATGATATTCTGATCCAGGAAGAGTTGGTTTTGTGGTTTAAAGAAGTAAATATTGTCAGCTCATTTAGTGTTTAAAAAAACCTGGCATTGTTTGAGCCACAAAAATATTTAAATTACACCTTAAAGCTTTCCCATATAAAAGTGTATCAACATGATCTGTCATATAACGTTATAATGAAGAATTCTAAAAGAATTTTCAAGGTGATCAGGCGAATAAAGTAGTTTCTATGTTTGTGGTACACATTTCTATACATGACTCAAGAACTAAATCTACTGATAGAAATGTTGACTTGCAAAAAGTGCAAAGCCTGATGGGTCCCTTACACCTTGTCCCTACAAATACTAGCCTCCCTTATGGTGTTACCTTCTTTTATACTATTTCAATTGCATGACATACTAAGTAAAAAAATAGTAAAGATTCAGAAATTAAAAATGCGAGGCAGGAGTTCTGCTGGGAATTGATAGAAATACAGTTTACGACACTGGACAGGGCAATTTACCTAAGTTCCAGGAAGCAACACCTGCACAATTCTGATCAGTTATTGGAGATTGATTGATTTGCTATGACAAATGCTGCATCATAGAAGAGTAATCTGAAACATTACTGTCTATGGATGGGTACATGTTCATGGACGCAGAGAGAATGTAGACAGAGCTGTATCAAGAGATGAGATGTAAAAATCAATTAGTGGAATGGAGGAGTGAACGTGTCAGTGCACTAAGCTAGACAATAGTCTAAGACTTATTCTAGCTTTCTAGGGACATTAAAAATGATACACTGCATCATCAAAGGGTTACCATGTTGAGTCTGAATGTTGTCTGTGTATTTTCATTCTTTTGGGAGAAGATACCAAAATTGCACAATAATACCATTTTGGTCTTTATTTCTTCAAAATATGGAAACAAAAAATGAAGTAGATGACAATGAGACAAGAGAAAACATCCCATACAGAATATGCTGTATCACTGGTGGTTAAGTCTGAAATAATTAGAAACTTTATTTGTGTCAATAATGTGTACCATTTATAAGGAATAGCACAATTAGTGTACTTCCCCCCCCTAAAGCTGTGCACAATACACACAAAATGAAATCATCACACAAATAAAATGAAGTAATTTTACACAACTATAATAATTAATAACAACCCTGGACAACCAGAATCATATTTTTCCTGTATCAGGAGAATTTCAAAAGCAAACAAACCAAAAGCATTGAAATTGAAATTGACTAACAACAAGAATTTCTTAAAGTCCTCTGTGAAAATTCACTATGGGGTTATTGACATTCCAAATATGGCTAAACTTTGAGTGCAAAATTCTTCTAAGGTTTAAACAACTTACAGCCTTAGACTACATTTACTTGGTGTTTCTAGGCTAGGTTTCCACTAGGCAAATCTAAAAAAAACCAAAACAAATTCTAGGGGGTTGAAGGTGCATCCAGAGAAGTTAGGCCACCATGTAGGATGCAGGCCAGGGATGGAGGGAAGTGGGGCAGAAATGAGGAATTACCATGATAAGGGTGAGGGGTGTAGAAAAATGCTGTTGTCCAACAAAGGCAAAACCTGAACTTTCTCATTGATCTGGACTACAAATATGCTTGTTTTCCTTGGTTTCAACTGGGGTAGGTGAGTCTAAAATAAATTTGCCTCTCTTCTCAACCTGTGTTTTAGTGTCTCTTAAAGAATCCCAACATTGGAAACATGTGGACACTTGACTTGGTAATTTCAATGTGTTCACATTTAAAAAGTTTCCTGGTCATTTTTCCCTTGCAAGATAAAGCTGTTTCTATATGGCTGTGTTAACTCTTACTTGCGGAAATAACAGTCACATTAACTGGAAACCCCTTGGGGGCAGGAATCTTGGCTGTCTGGAGTCTGTTAAAATAACCAGGAGGTAGCACAGTAATTGGTATAATTTAATTGATTCATTCAATCACTGAACCTTATTAACTGAAGAATGATTATGATGACTGAGAGGAAGAAGTGAAGGTAAATTTCAATAGCATTTATTTTTTGTCTTTGCATCAAAATAAAAGGAGTGCCAAGACAGTTGCTGGCCTGGGATTCTACATGTAGGCAGAGAAACCTATGTGTGAGAAGAGGTGCCCAAAGTCATCCTTTTTGTCTTCACTTATGTACTTATTACTTTGAAATGCTGGGTTACCTATACTCTTTGGTATTCTGAAATAGGAAGAGCCATTCCTTTTCCACTTAAGGGTTAAAAATCTCCCAGCACAATCCCCCAAGGAGACACTAATCTCATCTAATTGCTGCTCTTTAGTCTTTTTTTCCCTTTAATATAGAAGAGACAGCCTCTTAAAAGGCTCATGGGTCACCCTGACTGACTCTTTCTTAGGGAGGAGCTACAGATACAATCCAGGGGTCTGATGGGTGAAAGAAGGAGGGATCAAGACAGCCTTTACATTAAAAAATAAAATAAACCAGCACTATCTATCATCTGTGCCAGACAGAGCAGATGTGAAATAAATACTTTTGGGGAAGCGATATCATGGAAACGAGGGCTTGCAAAGCCCAGGTAGCTCTAATTCAGCTACTTCTCTAGAATGTCTTTCTCCCGTGGCCCTTCAAAATTAGCAAGTGACTGTTAGAAGGCCTCTGACGACTTCCATGTGGCTAATTTTCCATGCAGACCCTCTGTAGTTTGTCTGCTATTTATTCAATGACTTGAACCTCCTACATGACAGTTATTGCTTCTTAGAAATGAATGCGCAGATCCATGAATATATAAACCATTTTTTCCTTTTGTCCCTAGTCACAAGGAAACTCAATAACAACACAGAAATTAACAACTCAGCTGAAAAGAAAACTCACTTAGGTCTTCAATGTCCAATCAACGTGGCTGAATGGGAAAACAGTTAAATGCTATACTCTACTATATACAGATACGCTTTGTTTTGTTTTGTTTTTCATCCATGCACTGTGTAACAAGTATCACAACAACATTCCCAAACAGGCACATGAAGGAAGGAGGAGCAAAATGTTCAGTCAGGACTGAGACAGGATTGTGCAGGCCATGGATGCTTTTTTCGAAAGAAAACTGACAAGACAATCCCAGGCAGCAGCAGCAGCAGCATGGGACTCGGAGACATATTGATGCAAATGGAAACAGATGATGCGCTCTTTGAATGGGGTTATTCTTCTTGTTTGCACTGGGGTAGAAAGAGTGGGGCTAGGAAGGGGGGTCTACATGGGGTCTCTGAGCTGTAACACCGGAGTTAGGGTCTTTCTAATCGCAGTCCAGAGCTTAAAAGGTAAGATACGAAGGATTTTTGCATGTTCTTGGGAATCTAGGCACGTGATCCCTTCTACCTGTTGAACAAGAGTTCCCGGCACCGTATCTTTATAAATAGCAGGCTGTATTAGAACCCTCAGATTTCCTGGCTCTATTTGAATTTCTCTGTTGCTTCCTGGAGGCAGGTTCACCTCTGCTCAAATTCCAGCCAGAAGTAGGAATTTGATCATAAAGTGAAGACAAGCTTCTTTCTTCTTCCATACCCACATCTTTTCTTAATCCCAGTCAGTATTGAAAAAGTTGAGGGGAGGAGCGGGGACTTTTAGTGATTCACTTTTAAATTTTTTTTTTTCCGGAAAACCTATTTGCATTTGAATCCTTCATCAGCTCCCATAAAAAGAAGCAGAGACTCTGATTCTCCCCACAACACAAAACAAAATAAAACAAAGCAAAAGCCAAACATCGACCACCTCCCAACCCCACCAAAAACAAAAGCATAAACTCAGAGAACAAATCGAAGGCTGAGTGTTTGGTCAATCTGGAGAGAGGACAAGCCTTCTAGGCCAGGGTGCAGAGACGGCCCTGCCTCTGTGCCTTGTTCAACATGACGATGCCCCTGGGGGTGGGAGGTGATGGTTTCTTACTTCGGCCCTAGTACAGAGTAAGCTCTTGAAGCTGGAATCCATCAGCAGGTAAGTGAACATGACAAACGTCAGTTTCCTCTGTTCGTTATACATAAATCTTTTATGTATATATATGTATATATATATGTATATAAATTTACTATATCTGATTGTTCCTTTAGAAGCCTTTTATGTGGCAGTAGGCCTCCAGGGAGGAGAAGAAAATGTACAAGAGCCACAGGAGCACAAAGAGGCAGGACGTGAGGAGCTTGGCAGTCCGGGGCCCACCCAGCTCACCTCCAATTTCTGGCCTCCGCCGGTACAGCAGCACCCCCACATTGATGAAAGCAAAAATGGTGAAGAGAGTGACAGAGAAAGCTAGCGTGCCAGGGGACACTTTGAACTGTTCCCCATTGGCCGCATGGTAGATGGCAGCGATGGACCAAGCCACGCCAATTCCCAGGAAGACATTCACCGCGTTGCTGCCAGTGACGTTACCTATGGACGCATCTGCATACTGGTCCTGTGTGGCGGCCACTTTGCTGGCGAATGTGTCTGTAGAGGAAGAAGAAAGAAGCAATGACCTTCAGTTAATCCTCTAATGGTATCAGTGGAGTGCTGGAAGCTTCAGCTAGAATCAAACCTTTAGAATCAAATCCTGGAACCAGGCATAGATGTATTTGCATGTTGCTTTGAGTCTGGGTGGTGTGATTAAAAGGATAGGCACTAGATATCAGGAGTCAAGGGTTAGGCATTTGTGTGTTACTGACAGGCTGACGTTGGTCAACTTCTATAGCTATAGATAATGCAATTCTTCACAATAATGGTGTTTCAGGGTAGGCTTTTCCCAAAGAATTACAGCTATATCAGAACCACATGGGTCTTCTCTTATTGCTGTTGTTAACAGCTATGTCAGTCCCTGACTCATGGGGTCTGGACCCCATGCCTAATATAACTAAACACATCATAGCAACATACAGAGAGCTTCGTAGGTGCACATAAGGCACATTACATGGGAACGAATCTCCTGTGTGGAAGGTGAGTCTTTTCTCGTTGAACCACAATGCCCCAGACTGATTCCTTTAAGTGAATATTACACGGCTCTAGTTAGCCTTCAGGAGCTGTGGATTAAGAACTAGGATGCTAACCAAAAGTTAGTGGTTCAAATCTAGCAGCCCCACAGTTTAAAGATGAGGTAGCCTGCTTCCTTGAAGATTTACAGCTTAGGAAATCCCATGGGGGTAATGCTATTCTGTTCTAGAGGGTTGCTATGAGTTGAAATTGACTTGACAGCTGAGAGTTTTCTACCTACCCCTGCTTAATCATTATCACTGGGTTCCAGGAATCTATTTTAACAAAACTCCAAAACATTCTAAGGCAACTAAAATTCGAGGACAGCTACCTGAGACTATTAATAAAAGATACTGTCTTGTCAGCTCTAGTTATTTAGATAAGAAAGTTAAGATGTCAGCACATATTTATAAAGATTCAAGAGCAAGACAACAGTGGAACTGAAAACAACTGAACTCTAATAATAGCTGACATTAACCTAAAGATGAAGGAATAGGAAAGTATATCTACTACCTACATTGCCTTATTTGAGTCCGATGACAATTCTGATGTAAAGGAACATTACAGGTACAAAATTAGGCTTAGAATCAATAACTATTGGATGTATCAATACACAACTAGGAAAAGCCACGTTAGATTTAAGGTCAAGACACCTGCCTTCAAAGAAATGCCTGTTCCTTGTGCTATCTTAATGTGCACCATGCCTTCGATATGAAGGGCAATCCTCAAAGCTCTGTGTGCACCATTAATCTTTATTGTTTTCTGACAATAGGAAAGATATGGGTAAGGACATCTTATAGTTCTTACTGAGAAGGTCCCACATATATTTGAATTACCACTGCTGCCAAGTCACTTCTACCATATAGTGACACTCATGCTAGGACAGAGTGAACTACTCCATAGGGTTTCTCAGACTATAAATCTTCATGGAATTAAGCTTTCTCACCTTTCTCCTGCAGCATCACTGGTGGAACCAGACCGCTACATTCTGATTAACAGCCTGACCACTTGATTCACTGAGCCACCAGGGTTCCTGATATTTGAACCAGAGAGTTTTAAATTCTGCTTCCACCCTTGACTATGTGGCTCTGGGCAGATTATTTAAATTCTCTAAACTTCAACTTTCTAGTCTGTGAAAGACTATACTGATACTTCAAAAGTGCTGGGGCAATTGAAAATATTATACATAAAATGCTAGTCATGCCTCCTGGCACAAAATGAGAGTTTATCTTTTTATTGTTTTGAAAAAGTCACATGAACAGAACAGGATTGATGCTTTAAATGTTCATGTTGGGGCCGAAGCAGCTCTTTTTACTAAGCATCTAAACAGAACTAGCAAGATACTCAATTTCTTGTCTACATTATTGCTTCATTGCTGATATCAAAGCCCTTTCAGTTTCTTTTGCAAAATACTTAACATGATGGAGTCACAGTAGACGCTAATAACTGTCAACTTGAACTCAGATTTGCGAAGTCAGTCATGGCAGGAGTTAGAACACTACATGGAATTATGTCATTTGCTCAAGTTCTTCTGAGGTCCCTGGCTGACTCCAAGCTATATATTTCTGTGATACCTGGACTAGCTTCTCCCTCTGTTATTGTTGTGTTTCTTCTGTAATCTCCAGTAGGGATAACATATAAAGCAAGTTAGTTCACAATAGCCTGTGGACTTTCACTCTTTAAAATGGCTGAGTTATATAGGTTGCTCAGAGGTTATAGCAGCTGCAGATTTTTATTTTTAAAATAGTCCCTGAAGGACTTTTTTTTTAATTTGACCTCTGTCTTTTCCAGAAAATAGATTGTAAGGACTGTTTTATCATTAGAGGCTCTAAGGCAAACAGTCCAGTAGTGTAGTTTGTAGCGCATTGTGCTGTTAACCCAGAGATGGCACCTCTCTGCGAGTTCAAATCTGTGAGGAGGTCATTGGGAGAAAGATGGGAAATCCCCTCCTGTGCAATCTATTGCCTCTAAAAACCTGCTGGTGATCAGCTATGGGTTCATAGTGATTCAGTGGCAATGGTATAAACATAGGGAAATGAGGACAAACATTACTTATGCGGGCTCTCTCTCTCTCTCTGTGTATTACCATTCAGACTTCTTAGCAGCCTTATAAAGCACATATTATTATCTATGATTTTAAGAGGGGCCAGTATGATGTTAAGAGAGGCCAGTCGTTGGGAAAAGATATCATGCTTGGAAGGGTGAAGGGTTATTAAAAGAGAGAAAGAACCTCAATGAGATGGATAGACACAGCGACTACAGCAATGGGCTCCAATATGTTAGAGTTAATGAAGACAACAGAGGATTGGACGAGGTTAAGATCCACCCTGTTCATTGGGTAACTATGAGTCACACTAGAGTTAATGGCACCTAACACCACCACCACCATCACCACCACCACCACCACCACCACCACCAACAACAACAACAATTATCTTAAATTTAGAAATTGAGGCCGTATACAGATTTCATACTTCTTGGTCAATAGAACAACAATTTTAAACCAAATCTGTTTGAAGTCAGAGCTTAACCCCACCAGATCCCAAGAAGGTATCCCAAATTCACTTTTCCCTTTCCTCTTAGTCCATTTCCGTTTACTCTGTTCCTTTCGTTCAGAAACTTAGCACAAAAGAGTCTCACTAAAGCTCTTTCCCATTATCAGTGAGGAAAAAGAAGGGAGAAGGTGTTGACCAGATTTTTTTCCCTAAAAGATCTCTGGATGAACTTAAATTGACAACATTTCAGCTAGCAGCCAAGAACATTGCCTGTTTGCACCCATAGGAACTCCAAAGCAGATACAGACAGTTGCTAATTCACCCTTTTTTGGTGTATTTGTTGACACACAATCATCAGAGACTTTTGAATAAAAGCAAAGCAAGATACATCCTGATAGTATCTTGTTTTGTTAAGAGGCAACCTGGGGTTGGAAGGAGAGGGGGAGAGGAGAGGCATTTTGCTTTTCTTTACCAAGAATAGGTAGCCCAGTAAGGAAAGTTAAGGCACCAGACTCTCAAGAGAGGAGAAAGCAGATTACAGTCCAGCCACGACAGAGGCTAAACACCTGAGATGTTATTCTGAGCTAAAACAGCTGCTGGCTGCTAGACAGAGGGAGCAGTACTTGGGCTGCGCCTGCAACCTATGTTCAGGGCTTCTTCCTGGTTTAGTCATCCTTGATAAGAAAAACTGGAATAGACCCAAGTTTGTAAAATGTTGGTAAGGAAGGATGATAGCTAGAACCCGGAGGAAAAAAATGCAGGTTGCTGTCCTGTTAGAAACTCTTTCTCCCTCCTAGAAAACAATGGCTGGTAGTATGTGTATTGCATAGCAACCAGACTTCTTGACTAGCAGAGTTGGAAACAACAATGCCCTACTCAAAGATGTTGGCTGATCACGATGTACTAACAATACTATTTTCAATCAGACTCCCAAAAGGGTTTACTGTGCTTTTGCCATGTCTCCTGTTCTAAGGCTTCAACTCAGAATCCTTTCCATTTGGGCTATTATTTTGCTTCACCCACATTTTAAAAATTCAATTCTGTATCAATTTCATTTTGTCAGCTACAATTGAACCAGACTGAAAACCTGGCAGTAGTCCACAGAGCACATCTGCTCCCCTACCCTGGTGTGTAATGAGTAGCACCCCGGGCTGCTGAGTGTCCATTTGCACTCAGAAGTCCTGGACTTTCTGGATGGCACCTCTGTCACTGCTCATGAAGACAGAGAGGTGGAAAGTCAAAGACTCCTGGCCTCAGGAGACCGTGAAATCTGACACTAGCCCTTTTGTCCTGAATGCAGGTCATATCTGAGCCTCTGGCAATTTCCTCTCTTAAAGCCACTTTCAATAACCTTGTAACAGGAATATTAATTAGGCGGAAATACTTACTTGGTATAAACTGTTCCTATGCAGAAATATGTTTCTCTGGATTCCCTAAAAATGAGTGAGTAGCCAAGGTGACTGGCTTGTCACAAAAATTAAATGCATCTTGAACCTCTTTGAGTCTAATAGGTTGTAATAGTTGAGCTGTGTATTACTTTTTGTATAATTCTGATTAAAAAACTACATTTAAAAAATGCAAGCCCATGGAAATTCACATATAATAACCTAAGCTCCAACAGGGACAACTCTGCTTTCTAAATGAAGTGTGATGGATTCTCCCCAAATTATCTTCTCCTCCTGCCTTGCTGCTGAGTGCAGAGCAACACATCACCTCTCCTGAAACACTAACCCCTGCCTTGCCTGCTGTAGAAGAAGGGAAGTGCTATTCAAATGTTCCAAAGTAGACTCCAGGAAAAAACTACTGCCCTGGTGCCATGGACATCATCAAATCTGGGTATAGCTCATTAAATACAAACTCACTGAAACCAGATCTTCAATTTGAAAGGTACACCTTCAGGCATCTTCAGAATAACATGCATGCACTTTCTTGCACAAAGACTCCAGGTCATATTTATTTCTTTTTTTTTATTTTATTTATTAATTTTAA